ATATAAAAATCTGCTGTAAAACGTGAACACACTCACAGACCAACTTTTATCACATTTTATCAAGCTGTAGTTATGTTTCAGTAAAAAAAAACAAAAAAAAAAAACAAATGTGTTCATTTTAGTAAACATCAGAACCATAAATGAACCTGAACTGAACCATCAGTCTAACATTTATACAGCTGCTGATTCAATCAGACTGTTAATAACAATATTCCTGTTCAAACTGTTCAACAAGCTGATCATTACAAACACAACTTGGACACCATGAGAGAATAATTAGCTGATATATGGATCTACCTGCTGACAGCTGAATTTGTTACTAGTTTTCACAAACAAATCCTTAAATAAACTATGCACACTATTTTTTATATGCAGAACAAAGATACATGTTTTTTTTTTTTACTCACCAGGTGAGGCTGTGCATTTAGAGAAGCTGCAGTTAGCAGCAGCTTGAAGGTGTCCAAACGTGTCCAAAAGATCCAAGAGTTTATATTATTTTTGGTTCATCTTGAACGGTGCAGGTTAGCTAACCAACAGCTTGACAAGCCGGGACATGTCCGCTCAGCTTCACTCTAACTCCGGCAGGAGAGGTGGGTGGAGTGGGAGGAGTTTAAACACAATCTCTACGGGTTTTTATCATCAGGAAAACCCAGCCGGATCACACACACCGGCTGACCGGTGAGGAGCAGAGCCAGCTGCTCCAAGCCGGGTTTTTACCCCACTCCTGGTTGTGCCTTGTGTGCAGAGGTGGCAAAAATTTTCACACTCATTACTCAAGCAGAAGTATAAATACAAGGGTTTAAAATACTTCTGTAGAAGTTGAAGTATCAACTCAAGCTTTTTACTTAAGTAAAAGTGCACAATTACTGGTTTTAAAACTGCTTGACGTACATGATTTTCATGTACATTGTATTAAACGTTAATTTTGCTTTTTAAGGACCCCAGGAAAAGTAGCCATTGTTACGGCAATGGCTAATGGGGATCCAAAACAAATACAAATGATTAATGTCATACAGATGTGAAGGATCATACAAACCAGTAGGATGTAAGAATGGTAAACATTTACTGTATAGTTCAATTTCATCCAGCCACAATAGATTCACTGTTTTCGGGAGGTGCCATCTCTCTCTCTCTCTCTCTCGCTCTGTCTCTGTCTGTCTCTCTCTCTCTCTCTCTCTCTGTATACATTATACACGCACACACACATATACATAAATATACATGTATGTATGTAGGTTTGTGTGTGTGTGTAGTCAACTAAAGTGATTGAAACAACCTAAGTTTGTGCTGAAATAAAACAAGATAAGTTGCCCTCCTGCATGAGCATCAATGACCATTGCAAAAATTCTCCACACTAATGGCATGGTGTTTTATAGAATAAAATCATTAAGGGATGTAAGGATGCTGCAAACAAACAACTGTAGATATTTGGTTTTTCTCTCTGGATAACTTTCATGCTTTGCTTTCAGCAAAGCAACAGATCCCTTGCTGCCTCCTCCCCAGCAGCAGCTTTTTGCCAACAAGCCGGAGTATTTAATACAAAGCATCATCGCCTTTTTTCCCCTTGTGGTTTATTACACTGCAGGTTGTTGCTGTAAATATCTTAGAGCTCTTTGTCACACAGCAGCTGATTTACTAACTGTGGAGCCCAAAGCTTGAGACTGCGGTGTTTACTTTAAAATGTTTACCGTATTTATTCATGTATAATACTGTCTCAAGTATAATGCAATCATCATTTTTTGAGCTTACAAAGCATAATAATCTAATTATCAATAACCCATGTATAATACCCCACTATGGATGATTTTTAGGGTTAAATTTCTAGTATTATACATGAATAAATACAGTAGTTTTGTGAAGAAACAAAGAAAATGTCACCTTCACAAAACCTAACAGACACGTCTGCCTGGTAATTATGAAAGAAAAACAATAAAAACAGTGAAGATGATTAATTATCAATCATAATCGAATGGAATCCAAACAGCAAACTGCATATCCCTGTAGTTCCATTTTGTATGAACTATGTGGTTTAATACATATCTTGGTTGGCGTCTATGAATCATTTTGTAAACTCTGTGAGAATATTGCCAGCAGTTTTCATTTTGACCCTCTTTTTGGTTGCGTCTCTGGAMAGGCTCACATCAGTGAACACTGCATGCGGACCGCAGGCAGATAGAGCCACAGGGTGCATGACAATGAGCCACAAGTCTACAGGATGACGTTAGAAGGGAGACCAGCAATCACAAGGATTCATACACACAAAAACAGCCTTTCATTTGGAGCCAGATTTTGATTTATATTTAGAATAATGACTGCCTTTATAATCCCAGGAATTACACAACCTATGGTCCTGTTTTTCTGTGATTTGTTTTCTTCTTGCTTTAGTTTGTGATTATAACATACTTTATACAGGAAAGTAAAAGTACAACTTCATTAAATCCCAGAAATCTAGTGATATGTAAATTTAAAAGTGCCTGAATTCAGAGTCACTGTTCCTTGTGCTGGTTTTTGTTCTGATTATTACTTTGTGTTTTTGACTCTCAGGCAACTTTCAGTCACACAGCAGAGAGAAAAACAAAATAAAATGATTAGTTTGCATAAAAAGGCTCATAAAACTGAATGAAGAGTGGAAAATTTTAATTCAGCAAATGGGATGAAAACAAGTGCAGTAAGAGAGTTTGAAAAAGAAAATAACACTGTCTTACACACACAAACACACATGCACACACACACACACAATTACTGCAGACAGACACGGTCAAATATGAGAGGAAGCTGTCTGCTCATTATCAGCAGGTCATTATCTTTAACAAGCCCGGCTGTTGTCTTCAGAAAACATTCTAAGAATTTATAGCAAGCACACTGCACACAAACCAGTTGATAAGAGTCCACCGTTCCTCCTTGGAGGTACAGTGAGGAAACCATATGGACAGTAAAAACAACACTGAACTTTATAGAATCAGTTATTGAATCAGTCTGCAGCGATATGAGCGCATCTG